AGTACAGGGGCACGATCCCTTCCCTGCTCCTGCTGGCCACACGAGTTCTGATACAGGCCAGGATGCCATTGGCTTTCTTGGCCGCCTGGGCACACTGCCGGCTCATGTTCAGCCGGCTGTCGACCAACACCCCCAGGTCCTATTCCGCCAGGCAGCTTTCCAGCCACTCTTCCCCAAGCCTGTAGCGCTGCATGGGGTTGTTGTGGCCAAAGTGCAGGACCCGGCACTTGGCCTTGTTGAATCTCATACAGTTGGCCTCGGCCCATCGATCCAGCCTGTCCAGGTCCCTCTGCAGAGCCTTCCTACCCTCGAGCAGATCAACACTGCCGCCCAACTTGGTGTCGTCTGCAAACTTACTGAGGGTGCACTCGATCCCCTCATCCAGATCATTGATAAAGATATTGAACAGAACTGGCCCCAATACTGAGCCCTGGGGAACACCGCTTGTGACCAGCTGCCAACTGGATTGAACTCCATTCACAACTCTCTGGGCATATATTTCTCTCATATATGTAGTATCACTGTCATAGTAAAATCCTAAAGTTAAATCCCAAACCGCTTTAGTTCTGGACCTTAAGAACAAATGTTCTGAGAGACAAATTGGAACTAGCTTGCCTGGGGAAGTTGAAAAGTCTCTATCCTTGGAGGCTTCCAGGATTCAGCAAATGAAGCCAAGCTCACCTGATCAAGTGTTGGCAATAATCCCACTTCAAGCTGGAGGCTGGACCAGGTTTAGGCTAACGGAGATCCTCCAGAGAGCCCTCCCAAGCACCATTCCTATTGTTCTATGAATTCTAACATGTTTCAATCATTAAAACAGCCCTAAGATTACAAAGACTACCATTAAGTATTGTATTTGAAAAGCATTAACCCTCACAAAAAAACCTGGTCAATATGGCAGACCGAAATGGAAAGCTTAACACCCCCTCACTCTTACATCATCATACCACGCTAGGAAAAAAAAATCAAACACGCTATTCAAATGAAGTGATGCAGCATCCCAATATTAATCAAAGGACAAGAAAATTCAGTCACAATTGAATTGCTTTATTGATATCAACTCATCTTTAATCAGTATTCAGTTTCATTTTAATTCCAACAATGATTACAAAAGACAAGCTTTTAGTGCAGAAATGCTTAATTAAATGATCTCGGACATGATGCAGCCAACAGCCAGCTAGTCTGGACAAAGAGAACTGAGAAGGCTGTAATGCACATCAGCTTGTAGGAAACAACAACGCAGCACGTTCTGCTATCACTTGGATCCCAACACTCCATCTTAAAAACAGCAAAGCCAGAAGTTAAGCAGTTCATGCAGGAGGAAATAAAAAGCCACATAGGCTAAGGAAACTCATAAGCTAGCTTGTTAACCCAGTAGAACTTAATGAATTACAACTGTGTCCGAGAACTGGCAAGGCAGGGTTTAAATTAAAAGTTCCTTTGACAAACCTTGGACCAAATTTCAGTTGGATTTAGTATCCAACTTACTATCCTGGACATACCTATAGCTCAGAGTCCAACCCTCACCTGCTTCATGCATTCATCTGTCAAAACTGTCTGCTAATGAAAGCAAGGATGCCGGTGTAAGTAAGGAGCATCTTGTAACCTGGAATACATATGGTCATGCTCAACTCTTCAAATGACTGGCTTGTAATACAGAACAAACCCCTTTAATTGAGCCTCTAGTTCTTAGAGAAACAGATAAACAGTTACTTCCTTTTTCCAAAGACACTGAGCATTTAACAGATAGTCTGTGTCCTATGACTACAAGCACAGAGGCTTAAGTATCAGAAAGTCTAAAAGCTGTCAAATTATGTTGTCTACACTGTCTACATGACATAAAAAGAGCAGCCAGCCTAGTCACACTTTTTTCCTTCTAAACAGGGGAAGCATCAATAGAATTCTTAAATAGCAGCTGGAGGTCTGTGTTAAAGAGGGCACAGAAACGCAGAGGGAGTACACAGTTAAACCAAGATAAGGAATCTGTTTTTTTCCAAAATTAGAAATTGAATATAGAAATTAATAAAACAAATTCTGATTAGAATTCTAGAGTTTACCATTTAGAGACTGGTGCTGTTAAAAACATGGTTCCTGAAATTATTTGGGGTATTCTGATTTCCTGGGGAATAGAGTTTGCCTGACTTCTTTTCAGAAGTTTACTATAATACCTATGCTTAGGAAAATGTTAACCAGTAAGCTGCTTTTTCACTCAGTCTGTCCATTGACTCAGCAATTTGTATCTGAACAAAAGATTAGTTCCTTCTCTATGTATTCACATGATCCTTTAACAAGTGAATTAAAAAAAAATCCTAACAGGTTTAGACACACAGAACACCACCTAGATAAAATTTGCAACATTCACATCTCTGGGAAGCAAAATAACAAGGATTAAACAGACTAACCACACAACACGCAGACTTAACAGATCTGCTGCTTAGGATAAGAGAACAAAGAGGTTTGAGAAGCCAGTTACTGCACAAGCAATCCTCAGTGCAAGCTTCTCAGAGCTTACTACAGGGGTTTGCACGCAACCAGTTTAAGGTTACCTTCATTTACTGCTTCATGGTACCACGCTCACATATTCATGGAAGATTTCCACTGGTTTAGCTAAATTTATATACATCCTTCGGATCAGTTAAGCTAGTGCAACATCTTGTGTGGACACTTGTATTGCCTTAGAGTAGAACTTAAAAAAGGTGCATGTGCGTTTTCCTGCAGTAGTTTAAATGTGTTAATTTAAACAAATAAACATTTAGTTGCTTTCCAATTTTTTGATCAATGACTTCTCCACGCCACCTCCAAAATTTATTAGGAGGAAGGTCAATTCATTTCAGGACAATCAACCTTTACAGATCGCATTTCCAAACAAACAGTTCTCTTCCATTGCTAGAAGCTCCAAACATACACCCTTCCCTCCAGCGAAACCAGCTCAGGTTTTAAGTCTCTATCTTGTCCCAAGAAAAAGTGACTGGCCAGAGAGAAAGGCTTCATAGATCAGATTCAGCTTATGATCACTGAGTGAACAGTGCTTATTTTAGAACAAAGATTTCCATGTAAATGCCACATTTCCCCTATAAGGAATATTACTTTAGCAGTACATAGAAAATCACTGACAAAGGATCTAAACACTACCATTTGTTCAACACTGCAACTTAAAGACAACATATTTGAGATTTCTCTCTGAAATTCATCACCATATTGAATAGAGCAAACATTACAGCTAGATGAAATTGCACATTTTTGAAAACAATGATACTATTTTGCTTCTCCTAAAGTCCAAAAAAAATAATCAACATTTCTTCAGCTTTGTGTTTATCCAGCCCCTTCTGGGATTTAAATACAGCATGTCCATTAAGTCAATCCTACTGAGAGAGGTTTAATAAAGTTTAGTGTGATGCACATGCTCCTATGCCAATGCCAGATTCTTTGTTAGGTTCTACTGGATTTATTTGTCCCTCTTCTTTTAGCTTCACCTGTCTAAAGTCTTCCCTGACTTCTTCTAGCAGACTTGGCTTGAAAATGACATCCAGTGCTGTCATTGCCAAAGCTTTTGCTGTGCGCAAAGCATAGAACTGAGCATTCTGTGACCCTGCAGAAAGAAAGAAAGAGAAATTTCAGGTTAGATTACTAATATTAGATACAAACCACTGGCTTACCACATAAGGCATATGCTATAAAATAAGTTCTTCAAGTTTCAATTGCAAGAACAGTTTCTTAAAAATCTACTTGCATGAATGAAGTATGTCTATTTTCTGATGCCTCAAAACAGGTTTTCACATGAAAGTACTTAACTTTCTGCTACTGATGTAAACAAGTAAGACTGAAAACAGGAAAATGAGTGTTCACATTTTCCTTTTTAGAAAATGCAGAGTTTTATACTGTTGTCTCTATTACATTTCCAGAGTATTGTGCTTTAGAAGTAAAAATTACTTTCATCTTTTGGCTCATGTTTAGAAACTCTTCTGAATATGCTGCTAGGGATAATCCTTCTAATTTCTTCTGTCTAGATGGTATACTAAGTCAGGCTTTTAGTACGAGGAGTGGTCATCCTTCCCATATAGATTTAACTTTAAACACAAACACAGAAATTCTACATTTTGTCAACTTTTTTCTGCAGCTCTACGATTAACTAAGTAAACTGTTTCAGGGTCTGTATTCAGCTCAGATCCCACCACACTTGAAGAAAGCAAGTCCATTTCCATACAGGTATTCACACACAGCCACTTTCAGATCAAGTACTTACACTTTGATACATTTACTACACAGTAGCTTTGAATACCATAGGAGCATGTGAAAGCTTTAATCCTCTGTAATTTGAAATATTTATAATTTCTAGATTTGCTGTAGTGAAGAGTCAGCAACCAGTCCCTCCAATGCAGAAGGGTTCCAAATATAAATCTCTAACGCTTTTCACTTCCACTCACCTGCAGCTTCTGTGTACTGCTCAGTATGATTCAATGCATCAGAGCCAATATAAAAATAAGGATGAAGCCCAGGGACTACAAATGTAACATTTCCAAAGTCTGTGGAACCTAGAAGCAGCATAGAAATTTTCTTAATGAGCAAGTGTTGAAGAGTTTTGAATGCTGTAAGAAAGTGTATGATAGATATTACCTCCAGCCCATATCTAAAACAGAATATCCTTTGCCCCAAATACTAAAATAAAAGCATTTCTAATGAGGCATTCATTATCCATACAAAAATTTCCCATCTCCGAGATGTTTTCCCTAACTAGCCATCTTCAGATGCTGCTCTCCAGTGCACTTCTGATCAATAATCAGTTACTGGACTGCAAGGAAGACGTATCAGCATGTTCCTATTCCATTTACTACTAATTTCTTATCAAGCATCTCCTGATAGTAAGCTGTTAATTCAGAAACAATTAAAGCTGCAAACCTTCGAGTTTCAGGCAGTCTGGCTATTTTCCTGCTACAGCCCTTAGAACCAGGCCTAACAGTTACCGCTGTTCACCAGTATGCAAATATTCAGCATTAGGTAGAGGACTCTCAAGTAGGAACAATCTATCTTTAAACAAAAACAGATGGAGGACAACTATTTTTTCCCATGCTTTTTGATTATTCTCAGTTACGGAAACCTTAACAGCACAAGTACTCTTGAAATAAGATCAGAACTAAACTCCAGACAAAACACTAGTGCTTTGTAGACATAAAAAAATCTTGATAGCAATGCTGCAGATTTTAATGATGATTCTTTCATGTCTGACTAGCACTTTCAGTATGTTAGCTAGTGATAGTACCCATCTCAAAGTACTGCCTTATCTACTTAACGATACCATCCAGAAGTAGTAGATCCTTCATAGTAAATCATCCAAGAGTCTGCAACTACTTCCTGAGAGCTTTTTTTTTTTTAAACCCAAACAAGCAATCCACTCAGTATTTGTTAAAATGACATTTAGAAGCCGGAGAAATCAACGTGCCAGTTATTGTGAAATTCAGATACCAGAGGAAGCATTGTTTCATAGCGGGGAAAAATAGGGATGACCAGCTAAGACCTCAATTAATTTTTTTCAGGCCAGAGCTGTAAGAATTTTTCTTTAGCAATGGCATACAAAATGACCGTTCCAAAGATTTAAAATTATTTGTAACACATCAGGTAGCCTCCATATCATGATACTTTATGGAGACAAGATATTGCTAATGCCTTAAGACTTAGTAATGAAATGGTTGCAGAATACAGATTTCACTTGGAAGCATATAGTTATTAAAAGTGAGTCCACAGAGCCTACATTATGTGATCAAAGAGGACAAGACTAGCTTGCTATTTGCTCTGCCTACAGACAAATGGAAGCAGTAAGGCTTGTCCAAAAAAAAAAAAAGATATTTTCCCGTAAATACAGTATGCATTTGAAGAAAATCCAACTCTTGGCACAGTAACAAGTTATTTTAATTTTCAGCAGTCTACACTATTGATCCATTCTTTGGTCAGTCTGGAAAGACAAATCAGAAGTCTAGAAGTTCTGCCTACTCCAGACTAAACCAAGAATTCTAGACTTGCCTTACTAAGTCCTAATACACAAGCTGCTGGAAAGACTGTGTTGGCCTTTTTCCCTGCTCTCAGCCAGCAAATGAAGCATCAGCAATTTCAGTGCATCCCAGCTCTCAGTCATGTAATTCCACCTAAAATTATATCCATATCCCATCTACTACTGGTTTACAGGTTATTTTTGCTGAATGTAAGGGATTTGAACTTGGCATTTTCTAGTAAGATGAAGAGCTGAACAAACCAAAATCCAGACAGCTTTTAATAAAAATGTGACAGTCAAATCTTTCCCTCTATCATACCTAGCAGCATGTTTAAACATCAGGTGTTCCAATAGTTTCCATACAAACATCTGTATGCTGGCTAGAGATGTACAGATCGGGTTTCCTTCTAGAAGCATAAAAACCATCTTCCCCTCTGTCATACCTAATGGCATGTTTAGAACATCAAGTGTTCCAGTAGTTTCCATACAAACATCTGTAACTGTATACTTGATAGAGATGTACAGATCAGATTTCCTTCTAGAAGCATAAATAATTGCACAGTTATCAATGCAATATACAGACTTGAGCACTATCTTCAATAGAAAGGTACTGGGAGCTCCAGGCTGTCCAAAAAATCCTGAAGCTGATACTGAAGCCTCTTCAAGTCACTGAACACGTAATGGAAGCCAGTATTACCATAAACATAAATGGAGGGGAAAATGCAAGAGATTCCAGGAAGCGTTTATATACAGCCCCAAGCTTCAAAAGTGGTATTTTCGAAACATACCGGCTCCTTCTTATGATAATCTATATCAGCCTTGTGCACAGGAAGCCAATGAACCCCATGAATGCTAAAAATATCAGAGTAAGTTATTGCAAGTGTGGGTGCCTCAACTAAGGCATGCTAAACTAAGCCATCTGCTTTGGGAGGTTATCGATATCCTGTAGTAGAGCTACCCTACCAGCAGAAGGCGAAACAGGTCATGGCACCTGGTCAAAGCTAACTCAGGTTCACATTATTTCACATCATCCTGGCTGTGTGCCAAATGAGCGGAGCGTGCACAAGGCACACACAAGGTAGTGTGAGTTGGTGGACTAAAGGAATTCTTCGTAATGCTTAGCTGCCTAGAGCAATACCTGTAAGCAGACCGATACTAATACCCATGTAGAGGTGGCAGCGAGTATGCTCATCTGTTAACGACTTTTCTGCTGCACAGACATGGAGAAGCAACTGAGCTATCTTCCTTCCCTTTCAACAGAAGAAACTGATATCCTAAAAGAAAACATTGAAAACCATATGAAAACTAAACAGAAATAGAGGTCTTGAAAAAGATGAGACAAAACACTCAACCCCTCCCAAAAAGGGTAGCATACAAAATTCCACTCCTATGTCTCTGGAGACTGGGCTTTGTTATCACTCCCGAATTCCCACTGCAAAAATTCAGAGAAGCAGCTGTGGAAAGAAAATTCAGTAAGGCCTACTACAGTGTGCAATAAAATGTGATTGCTCAAGCACATGTTGACATTCGACAAGCAATTTAAGGACAGGCATATGGAGAGTTTCAGTTTAAGCAAGTTAATGTTTAACATTTAGCATATCATATAACTTACATATGAAAGCACTATTACAATTAGGGGTCTGTACTAAGTTCATTCAAAGTCGTCTGAACCAGCATGATCACCTGTATTCATCATCTTCACCCTTAATACAATGGTTTGAGGGAAGCAATGCAGAGCTCCAGAAAGTTTCACTACAGTAAATGTTCTAAATAAGGTTCCTCAGCACCTTTCTTAGGCTAAATGTGTAAAATAGTAAGTCTTGCTTGTACCACACTGAATAAAGAAAAAAGAAATCTGCCTTTAGTTATAATTTGTTTTTAAACCCAAGACAATGAACCGATTGGAGAAAATATGCTAGTGTTGCCTTAATTTGGAAGGGGAGAAATAAGAGAAAAAACAACCAGAACACCATTAGATATGCTGTGTCCCCCACACAAATGAAAGTTTGGAGAACTCTATCCCCAAACACCACGATCTCAACTATCCAAAAATAATCTGTATTTAATATAGAGAAGATTAGTACCGCAATCAAACTATTTGGAATAACCATTTTTACTGAAAACAATCTTTTCCTTCTAACCAAAGAGAAAAACCTTTAACATGAGTGAAGTAAAAACGTTTATATGTAGCTATGATCAGTAGTGCAGGCTATAAAGTATCAGCAGCAGTTATAAGACTTGAACAGAGCTCCTGTAGGAAGATTCTGGGAAAAAACTGTTAAGGGTAAGAGAAACCCCCCTGAGCATTCAAGAATTCACATTCCTATTACTATACCTCTGAGAGACCAAGTAAGTGAAATAGTTTGAGACATAGTCAAGACCGAGAAGTGAACACCTACTTGAATGGTACCCTTTGGAAAACTAATCTGTTGAACTCGTGAACTAAAATTAGAGGCACAGAATTACCTGTTAATGGAAAGAGGTTTAAATTAGGGTTACTGAGATGCTTAAACTTCCGCTTAAAAATGTCTTCAAAAACTCCAAGATATTAGTTAGATGCTAGTATATTTGTTCATATGTAAGCTTGGGAAATAGTTAAACAAGGTTCGTAAAAACTAAATCTCATCTTTGTTCGAAACATAAACCGGGATTCTGTAATTCAAAGCAACAGAACGAGCCACAAATCATTCCACATCCTCATGTTCTCAGTAAGACAGTTCTTATCTTTCCATCCTTCCATCCCTCCCCCCAGCCAAACTGTTTCTTACTTGAAATAGTTTCAGAAATATTATCAGAAAATGATTACTGCTTTCCATACCGGTTGGGAAAATTTCTCAGCTTCTACAACAAATACAGAAACACAGGCCAGAGGTACGATCCTTTTACAGAGCTTCCATTTTTTCATTTGGCTTTTTTCTTCTGACCAGACTATGTTTAACCTACCTCTGTCCCTTTATTTTATACATTTAAGAGTTGATCAATGTAAGCTTAAGCCATAACAAAAAAACCCAGATCGAGTTACCTGACAAACCATTCAAGATACAGTCTTCTGATATGAACTCTATTCCAAGCTTCTTTCCATTCTCCTTGTAAACTTTCTGCAGGCTCTTATTTGGAAGCACATTGTAGTAATCATTTTCACCACCTTTTATTTCCACCTAGACAAAAAAAACCTCAAATGACTAGAAATTTTTCACCAACCTAAGCCAGTTTAATGTAAACAATTTAAAGCCCGGAAAAGTTAAATACATGTCCATACTTCAAGCCCACGTCAAAACAGTCGTAAGTGCTAAGTTTCTTTCACAAATGTAACACTCCGCCAAATAATAGCCTTGATCAAAACACAGCTGGTGTTCTGTCAAGCTTGCACTAGACAGCCAAATTCCAGAAGCATGGATTTCACAGAGAGCATCTCCAAAAATAGTAAGCATTTCCTGTAACAGCTTCTAATGATTTCCACTGCAGGCACTATTAAACGACATAGAAATCAATTCAGTCTTTCACCAAATTCTATTTTACTATTTTTGTTTAGAACACTTCCAATAACTACAGCCCCATTCATGAAATAACTTCACACAGGCAAGAAGCTTGAAAACAAATGTAAAAATCATACCAATGTCAAGTTTCAAAAGAGATCTTAACTTTCATTCTGCATAAAGTACACTTTCTGAAATCCTTTTCTAGTTAGAGTGGAGGGGCCATACTAGGAAAAGAGCACCTAATGCCTCAAACAGACCTTAAAACTCACTAGCTTACATTCATATACACTATATGTATTTGTTCTGATGAACATAGGCATTCTTTTCACAGCTGTATCAGCCATCGATCTGTAACTACAGAGCAGGTAGAACCACCTATCTTAGCAATACATTGCAAGGTAATCATATTGCTGGAACCAGCTACAGGAGAGACTTCCACACACTAAAAGCAAAAAAATTGAGAAGAATGCTAACTGAAAAATGACTGGTTTTCATATTTGGTTGCTACATGAGCCTGCTGTTTAATGGGGCAAAGGAAATAGAGCAATGCTCCTGCACACTGAAAAAGAGCTAAAGCTCACATACATCTTGAAGGGCCTAGAGATGAAGGAGGAAGATCTTGGAAATTACAGACTGGTCAGACTGTCCTATCCTCAAGCTCCTGGGGAAATTATAGAGCAAATAAATCCTCCCAAGACCCATGTCCAGGCACATGAATCACAAGGTGATTGTGACTATCCAGCATAGATTCACGGAAGAGCAGATGGTGCATGACCAAGCTTAGCTTTTCATAATGACAGGTCTGGCTCAGTGGACACAAAAGATATTCAGGCTCAAAGTATTATGATCAGTGGCACAAAAATCCAAATTGCTGCCTGTTACTTGTAGCATCCATCTGCAATCAATACTGGTGCCATTACTGTTTTAATACCTTTATTATTGATGCAGACAACTCCTGTGAGACCACATCTGATGTACTGTGTTCAGTTTTGTGCTCCTGAACTCAAGACTGGAGCAAGTCCAGGGGAAGATGATTAGGGTGCTGGAGAACATGACATACAAGGAAAGGCTGAAAGAACTTGGTTTGCTGAGCCTTCAGAAAAGAAGGTTAAGCTGTCTACAGCTACCAGATGGAGAGGGTAGAGAAAAGACAGAACCAGAATTCTCAGAGATGCCCAGTGATACATATGATGAGAGGCAACAAAGGAAATTCCTATTAGATACAACAGAATCACAGAAGTTGGTTGAAGTTGGAAAGCATCTCTGGAGGTCATCTTCTCCAACTCCCCTGCTCAAGCAGGGTCACCTAGAGCTGGTGGCCCAGGACTGTATCAATGCAGCTTTTCACTATCTCCAAGGATGGAAACACCACAATCTCTCCAGGCAACCTGTTCCAGTACTCTGTCATCACAGTATAAACATCAGGAAAAGCCTCGTTCACCATGAGGCGGGTAGAGCACTGTTGAAAGAGGCTGTAGACTTTCATCCTTGGAGATACTCGGAAGTCGACATGGCACTGAGCAATCTGCTCTAACTGGTCCTGCTCTGAACAGAGGATTAGACTAGATGACCTCTGGAGGTCTCTCCCAACCTAGATTATTCTATGATTCTGTGACAGCATTCTATTTATAAAACAAAGCTTTCTTTCAGGACACAAAGCAACAGAATAGCAAATAGTATCATCGACATTTTGAATTCTTTCAGCTAAACACCATGCAGACAAATGCTGTGAGCCTCAATTTCCTATTCTGGCCTACCTTATTCCCCAGCGCAGTAGAAACATGACCATGAATACATTCTTACTTTGCATCCTGTGGCCAGTGCTGCAGATTTGAAGCAGTTCTCAACCTTCTCTGTCAGAACAGAAAGATCTTTCATTGAAGGGGCACGCAAGTAAAACTCTAGTTCGGTGTAAGAAGGAATGATGTTAGGTTTCACGCCACCATTTCTTATTACGCCTGCAGAAAGGGAAAGTCATGTTACTAGTGTTAAATACAAATGCTTCATCTTCAGCCCTGTCATGAAACTCCTTGCTCAAGAGCTAAATATGTAAACAAAACCCAACAAAACATCAACTGAGCATGAAATACATAAAGAATGTAAAAAATATAGTATGTGGACAAAGTTTCTTAATCATGTCAGATTAAGTGGAATGTGTACATGTTTTTCAGCACGATTTCATTGCATTCTTTGGTTATCTGTTATAAACCTAAAGACAAGCCAAACTAGCATTTGTAATTAATCCCCTGAAATTCAATGCAGAGTCTTAAAGCAACCTGGCTGCCATCGAAAAAGAAAAAAATTTGTTATAAAGGCTACCTTGAATTCCAACTTTTAAAGGTTTCCTCAACTACAATGTCTCCAACTTATTTTGCCAACTTGGAGAGAAGTTGAGTAAGTTGCATATCTCAGCAATACTGGAGTAATGTGTGTGTTGCAGTGCACAGAAAGTTCATTAGATTCCTCATACTAATTCTTTAGGAATATTGGGGTGTATAATATATGTACAGTTTTATTCAAGAGTGAAGTTTGAGTTGAAAGTGTTCCCTCAAGGAAATGTGTGACAACTACATAGTTTTCAATTATGGCCTCAGAGGCTTTACCATAAAAGACTGTAATATTTAGACATTTCAACAAAAAAACATTGTAGACCTCAATTCTACATTAGATTTCAATGCATTAACAGCTCATTGCTTTCAGCCGGCTGCTTGTTTCCCCGGCCTCCTATCCTCAATTTATGTATGTGGAGTAAGATTGGTTTTCTGCAGAACCTGAGAAACAATCTACCTTAAATGGAAACACTGCACAAAGTTACTGATGTGTCACTGAAGCCTAAAAAGACAGCACTATCAGGATGCAAATAGGCAACAAATCTTCACTTTTGGTGCAGAAAACCTATTAAGACTATGAATTCCCCCCTCAAGTAAAACCTTTCCAGTCTCCAATACGGTCAAAGTAAACAGAGTGCTGAATTAAACCACTATCAGTACTAGTCCATAACAAAAGGAACAGCTCAGATGAGAGGGACAGACTTCATAGAAAAGGAACCAGCAAATCAGCAACTAAGTAGTCATGCAAATTTGCATGACACATCATAACACATTTGCTCAGAACAAGTAGCTTAATGAGCTTTCATTTGTCTTCCAACACATTTGTAAAGGGAACTGGATAGAGTCCAAGAGTATGTATACACTTACATTTCAAAGCAACTGTAATATGGACTGGACAGCAGATCTTATTAGTACACACTACTAACAGCACCTAGTTTGCCCTGCCCTAGCATTTCTAGATGGAACTTTTTTTTACAGCCTGTTTAATACAATTTCTTGAACAGAAAAAAATCTACATTCCTGTTTTTCAAAGGGGCAACATTTACTCCACTCATAAGCAAGGAAAAACTTATTAAATATTAGACAAACTCAAATCAACATTGTTCAAGTACATAAAACATTGCTTAGAAATTCTAGACTTCAAATAATGGAAACTATTTCAGTTCTTGTTAGTGGGTTAACACTAAGATTTTTAGGATCACTTAAGTCAGCCATGGCTGTTACTGCAAGCCTGCAACACAAGACCTCCAACACAATGTTGTAAAGAAAGCATTCCTAAAATTAAATCTTATTCTGGCTGCTTATACTTTCCCAAAGGTATTTTATATATGTCCAGTTTGAAAACCAGGTTTATGACAGCAGTTGTATCAACACAGTAATTTAAGTTTTGCTGTGGTTTGGGAAGTGTTACCTCTAGGAAGCTTGTTTAGATACTTAGTTTTTTGCCTACATTACCCATGTAGCTTTTAGAAACTATGAAGAAAGCAGTATTTAGGGTTTTAGGCTTAGATCAAATAAAAGACTCATGCACCTCCAATCTTAAACCTGCAACACATGAGTTTCAGACACCAAAACTCATCATTAAGTGCCTTGTTTTCTACAGAGCAATAGGATAGAGAGCTAAGGCTATGCCCACTGTCTGAAATTCATTTGGGTATGCTGCACAGCAGAACTGCAAACATCTTCATCTACAGTCAAAAGGGTTAGGGCTTCCAGACTCCATCCAGACATCCTGGAGAGAAATACACACATATATTATACAGCACAAGCAGCCAAGGCATATAATGATCATTAGCTCAGAACTTCTGGAAGTGTTTTAAGCTCCTAACAAGTATTCCAAATAAACAGTTCTACATTCAGAAGCCCTGTAGAAATGGCAAAGTTTCTTAATTTCAACTTGGAAAAAGTTGCGTTGGATGTAATAAGGGAAACCTGGGTTTATAGCTAAAGGGCAGCTTCCATCTCAACTTCTGAAACAAAAAGAAATGCATGATGTTGAAGGAGTATGAGTCAATGGTTAATATGTCTTATTGGAAAATGGCCTTTCTACTTCAAGGTCTGCTATATATTAAATATTAGAATCCAGCGCACATCTAGTTGATTGGGCTACTAACCAGAACTATAGGCTTCTGCCATCACTTGTTTTTTGTACTTCAGCAAATAAACTTCAGTCACTCTAGACCACTACACCCTTCCATGGAACGTCTACTACAAAAACAATGCAGTAAGTAATACTTCATTTTTCAGAAGCATTTAATCTTACACCTAAAACCACGTACATTAACTTTAAGGAATTCAAGGCCACGTACCAAAATAAACTTAGAACTCTTTCTTTCTGAACTGCAACTTCAAGTGCAAAGACTTAAAATTTGTCTAGGCTCTACCTATGTGCCAGTGTCCTTTTTTGAATCTGACCCATAAGCCTATTTTCAGAAGTTAGTTCTGGACACTGACATGATTTTAAAGATTACAGACAATATTTAAATGAAATGGTGCTATTTCATAGTATTTGAAGTGACTATACTAATTTAGTGCAATAATGCAATATTTTAAATTGTGGGATTTTGTAAGTTAGTATTTCAACAGCCTAAACTCTTACTTGCCAGATATTAGATTTAATGAAGATCTCACCATGAACTCTCCAGGTCGGTTTCATTTGCTGTCTTAAAACAGACAGATTGTTGTATGCAAGAACAGCAGCATCTAATGCATTAACTCCTTCCCAAGGATAAGCAGCAGCATGAGAAGCTTTTCCATAGTATTTCACAGTCACACTAGGAAATAAAAGGCATTGCTTATTTGTTTTTCATCCACTGAAAAAACCTCTAAAATAAAAAGTTCCTTTTATTCACACAAATATTTGTTATTTAAGTTTTGTGCAGCAGAACACCAAACAATTTACCTGGCACTACACTGTTGCAAAGTTGAACTATCTTTGAGTGCAGGAAGATGCTGAAAGATTTCTAGAAAACCAATGAAATGAAACAATATCAAGAGCCAATCAGGCAAAAGAGCTACCAGTAACATACCACTATACAGCCTTTTCCTGAGAAGTACAGGCTTCACATACTAATTAAGTGGCGCCAACACTTTTTTATACCTCCTGACTGTTCTGAGACTTAAAGTTACTAACATTCTTCTCAGAGGGTAACAAACCCTTTTCTCTGATTCAAAATTAGAAGTTGACTGTCCTAATTCTCGTCAAACTTCAATAAAATATGTACAGTATATAAGACAGCAAAAGCACATTACTAAGATCACATACAAGCCATGTCTACATAACAGAAGTCAAGTTTTAAAAGTGCAGTAAAAGCATAGCCTAGTATAAAATATACATTAACATGCTACAGCAAGGATGTTCCCTGCACACCTCAGAATGCTAGTAGAAAGGCTTGCAACAAGGAAGAAACAAGAAAGGTTATCCTCCAACTTCGCAGAAGTCATAAAATACTGCACCTAAAGACTTCCAGTAAGAATTCATGCTTGGGTTCATCTTGTGAGGGCCATTTATATTAGCCTTACAAAATGATTTAGCATTTCAAATTATATGAAAACTCTTTACACGAGAGGCAAATATTAAATACTGACAACTACGTAAGGTATTACTACTTACCAAATACATAAGTACTAGTTTTTTATCAATACTAGAGGTTTTAACTAAGTCTGTTTGTACTCAATACCCAGTCCTTCACATAAAAACCTCCATCCTCAAGCTTCAAGAGTTCTCCCCTGAGACACACAACCTGTCTCTCACCCAGCTAGGACCAGCCTAACTTGCTTGTCCCTCTGTCTTGCACAGATGGCAACCTAGCCACTTATCCTGAACTGACCCCTCATGCTCTGAACCATACCACAGCTGTAAGTTAATACCAGAACTTAAATACTGGATAGCAAAGAGGGACACAATGGAGTGTACTGTTGCAGCAGAAAACGTCTCCTGCTACTGCCTGCAATCCAAATTAAGTATGCCCTTTTCCATCCTCCCTCATCCTCCAAGACAACCATACATCCCATTCTGTAAAGTATGAGTTTTATTTAAAATTTATTATCATTATGAAATCAAGATAAGAAAACATCCATTAACATCCCAAGTATTAGACTGCAATCCCTCAAATCAACTCACAAAGAAGGCAGGACAGATCTCTAGATATTCTCCAAAAAATGGAGAGAAGGCAAACTAAAGCAGAAAGTCATGTTGCAATCTTTTTTTTCCCCCACAAGAAACATGCGCTTCTTAAAAAAATGTTATTTCAGCATTCCTTTTCTTATACTTCTATTGCTACACAAATGTCGCATACAGAAAAAACCCACCAGATTTTGGTGAATAATGAAACCCTAAGCCAGTTTAAGAATATTAGCAGAAGAATGTGGATCCTGTTTGGCCAACAAGAAACAGGCTGATTAGGTGAAGGATAAGTGAGTAAGAATTAGCAAATTTTGGCATGTATTCACCACAGTTATCCCAGTATGTTAATTTTACTTCAGGCACAAGCCAGCTTCGGAGTTTGCAGATGTAGTAATACTAGCCATTTAGTGATCACCAATCCCTAAATTCCTTGGAAAGAACCAAAAGATCAATTACAAGTCATCAAAACAGTCTTTGTACCTTTGGAATCTTGTAATTAAATAAATCATGACATCAGCTGAGTATTTCAAGCTTCTGGAGGTAGTAAGCTGTTTCACTCAGTACTTCAACTCCATGCCTCCTCCATATTCAAGGTTTAAAGGCTATCTAGGACTTGCATCTTACAGCAGACCATCACTTCTGAAGGGAGATTTCCAAATCTTAAAGTATCAAACTCAAAAGGCTATTGCAAAAGTTGAAATGAACAGAAAGACAGAACTATTCATGAAAACTGCATCTTGAAGATCATATAGTCTGAAGGTACAGCAACCAAAAGCCAAGCTGAGATAAGTCTTGAAGGAGATTACAATAACCAGTTAAGACTCGTTAGAATCATGATGATGGAACATTGCAGAGAGCTAGCTAGGTAAGGAAGACTAGGTGTTGCTAACCTTGTCGGTTTCACCACAGAACTTAGCAGTAACAGAAGCAAATGACCCACCAGGAACAGCACTGGTAAAAGCAAAATGGCCAATAAAATCAAGCACATAGGAGCTGGAAGGTAGCACAACCAAGATGAAAACAGTTCTCAGTACATCAAGTCAGAAATGGTTGGAAAACCAGTTATTTAAATATTACAGAATTTAGTCAGAGACAGCCAAACTTGATACTTGGAAAAAACAGTTGCACTGGAGGGAGGTTACTAGTGGAGTCTCTACAAGATAAGACCATGGAATCAAGAATCATTAATGTAAATAAAATGTAATAACAAAACCTGCTGACAGACTACTGCTGGGACACTATGAAAACAGAAGAGGTTTATAATATCAAAGGAAGAACAGCGTGGCCTCGCAGACTGGCAGAGAAAGAACAGAATGAAACTCAAAAATATGGTAAAAGATCATGTAACTTAGAGACTAAACATTTGTCTAAGAGTTGATTGCTTGAAAATGACTGAAGAGAAAGCCCCAAACATGCCATCATCCAAAATGATAAGGAGACACTATGGTCCCTCAGCATCAGCTGAGTAAGGTCTAAGGAAATTCCACCTGATGCACTGTGTACAATCCTGGTTATGCACATCCAGCAAGGAGTAAGTACTCAGAGGGAAGGCAAGTCACTCCAAGTACAAACAAACAAGTGCTGACACTGAACAGCAGGGCTAACCAAAAGAAAACAAGGCATAATTTCTGAAGAGTTATATGGCTAGCTGGCAAAAAAAAAGCTGAGTGCTGTCTATGGATACATATTGGAGGTAAACATGAAGGAAAGCCAAGAACTACTCTGAATCAAAAAAAAGTTGATGTGAGAGTTAGTAGATATAAAATGGCCATGATTAGATTTAGGCTGGAAGTTAGTAAGGATCCAAACAGCAGTCAGGCTCAGCTGGCTGGCTTTTTCAAAAGTGGGAGAGAAAACCTGAAACACTTTCAAAACTGATTAAAATGAAATGTGTACAGAGGACTACATGACCCAGTGCCCAGGGAAGCAAGGAACTAGGATCCATAAGACTCCCTCTAGTTGCATGTTCTAAAATTTAAAGAACAGGTGTTTTTTAAATGAAATTTTTTTGTTTAATAGATAATCACATGCATGTGTAAAAAGAAACGGCTAGAAACATCAGAAGAAAGCATGGATTTTGAGGACACGTGAAAGATTATCGCAGAGCAGTCAGGGATCTTTAACACCAGGCTGAACACCGCACTTTGAAAGAACAGCTCAGTGTCCAGAAGAGCGACCCGTCTCTTTAGCTGACTGCAAATACTTAGTCTGAAGGGCACCCGCAAGGTCCCCCGGTCCTAAGTTCAGCCCTTTCCAAAGCAGCCCCCCTACTCGGGGAGGGGGAGAAAAGGCTAACAAGCAGCCAACCCCTTCCACCTGAACCCGCTCACTCACTCGTGCTCAGCCACATCGGGCAGGTAAGCTGCGTTTTCCTGCGAGGGGTGTGCCATAAAAACCACATCCAGGCCGTCAAACGCTCCAGCGTTTATCAGGTCTATTTTGCCTCCTCCTTGTTCTTCCGCAGGCGTCCCCAGCACCGTGATCTGCAGCACAAAGGCAGAGAGTCAGGGGCCGACCGGCCACGGGGGCCGACCGGCGCCAGCTTCCCCCCTCGGGAGGGCTA